TAAAGTTAAAGGATATTGCTAACTCCTTATCTTTCTTCCTAAGAAGTTCCTGTATGAAGTCAGCCTCATGATAATAAAGAAACAAGTCGGCAAGAAGAGGGGCACAATTGGTTCCCATTGGAATTCCGACAGTCTGTTGAAAAACACGTCCTCCAAACGTAACAAATATGTTGTCAATCAAGAAATCAAGCATCTTGATAATGTAAGTTTCAGTGAATTTTTTGTTTGAATCAGAGTGATTCTTTACAAAGTAGGTTTTATCCCTCCCCAAGACAAGATACTTGTATCTACGTTCGCCATTCTTTTTGATGAAACTAAGTAATACCAACTCTTTCAATTTGTCTTTTAGTTTGGAATGGGGATACTTGTGTAAAATGTAAAAAAGTCAAACGTTTTAATACTATTGCAAGATGAGAGAGTCTTATATTGTATGTACTCTAACAGATCTTTGGAATTATTTAGTATCCACATCTGATTCACGCCACCTCTAGAATAGGCAGTTTCACAATAACTTTGGAGCCCGGCTTTGATTGCTGATAAAATAGATGTTAACAATTTAGAAAGAGGTTTCGTGGAGCACTTGATAGTATATAAATGAAGGAACTAAAAATACAGAAAAAAATGAAAGGTCCGTGTGCTTGTTTTCGAGATATATGCCATTGAAAATTTGGCGGGAAATGATTTTCTCTAGATTTTTCATACATTTAACATTGGCATCTTTTTTCTTTCAGAAACTATGAAAAAATAACAATGATTTTATAAGATTTTCATAAATGGCTAGTTCAACTATATGTAATAAAATTATGAACAGAAAAGTAGGGGTTAGCGGGATTTTTTTTTATTAGTACTACATGGATAAAACTAGAGGATTCAGAATTTCTGACAAAAAGTCAAAAAGCAAGAGTCGCGAACATACTTAAATTGACGATCAGTATATGAATAAGCATAATGTAAATAAATGTTGAGTATTTACTTTGCGAAATAGTAGCCTAGATTAAAGACGGAAAATTTGTATTGATGAAATATTGTTGACCTTCTGACCTTGTAGTCTATCTTCAGCCTTGGCTTCTATTTTCACTAAGTCATTTGTAAACAAATTTATTTCATACAGAAAAGGTATTTGGTGTAAAAGCTACTATAATCTATTAAATGAATATCATCATTAATAATGTAAATGCTACCAAACAACGTACAAACAGAAGCCTTATTTTGTCAATATACTTTTAAAATGGAAAATGACGGGAGATTTAGATAATTGATTTTATGAATATCAATTGTATAAATGTATCCTATAATTAAATAACCAATGTGAAAATGAAATTTAAGCACAATACCATTCAAATTCCAGCAGTTATCACATTTATATGCATAGCTCAATTTATATGGCTAATAGAAACATGTTCCACCAACACAGGACCAAAACTGTGATGTTCTTTTAATTTAGTCAATTGATTATCAAATATCGGTTTAGCTACATGTGTCGGAACGACATGAATGCAAGGTCTTGAGCCTTATCCTGAAAGATCAATCAACCGTTGTTGGTACGACATGAATGCACGGTCTTCAGTCTTATCCGGACAGATCGATCAACTGTTGTCGTACATCGATCAACTGTTGTCGGTACGACATGAATGAAAGGTCTTCAGCCTTATCTAGAGAGATCGACCAACCGTTGTCGGAACGACATGAATGCAAGGTATTAAGCCTTATCCGGACAGATCGATCAACCGTTGTTGGTACAACATGAATACACGGTCTTCAGCCTTATCCGAAAAGATCGATCAACCGTTGTCGAAACGACACGAATGCAAGGTCTTCAGCCTAATCCGGAAAATCGATGAACCGTTGTCGGTACGACATGAATGCAAGGTCTTCAGCCTTATCCGGAAGATCGATCAACCGTTGTCGGTACGACATGAATGCAAGGTCTTCAGCCTAATCCGGAAAATCGATGAACCGTTGTCGGTACGACATGAATGCAAGGTCTTCAGCCTTATCCGGTAGATCGATCAACCGTTGTCGGTACGACATGAATGCAAGGTCTTCAGCCTTATCCGGAAAGATCGATCAACCGTTGTCGGTACGACATGAATGCTAGGTCTTTAGCTGTATCTGGAAATATCGATCAACCGTTGTCGGTACGACACGAATGCAAGGTCTCCAGCCATATCCGGATGATCGATCAACTGTGGTCTGCACGACAAGAATGCAAGGTCTTCATGACCAGCCTTATCATGAAAGATCGATCAACCGTTGTCGGTACAACACGAATGCAAGGTCTTCAGCCTTATCCGGAAAGATCGATCAACCGAACCAAAACACAAACTCGGAATTTATCTATTTCTTAGGTTAGCCATTGCCAATGCTAATTTAAGCTCTACCACTTAGTGGCTGAGGCAGAGGCATTACTAGCACGCTGTGAACGAATTTATTTTACCGACTATCTTAACATGAGGCATTTAGACTAGTGGCCTATCAAAGTGATCAAGTCTTCAATACAAAGAACCTACTCCCATTGGTCTAAACAAAAACAAATGCCAACAATAACAACTTATTAGCTTATAATGTGTCTTCCTCATTTATTTCAATCTTCCATAATCAATTTCTTCATCTATTGTCCGGGTGAAACGTTTCAGATTTTTCCTGAACGCCGTATTGTTTTTATAAAGGGACGTAACACCACTGCTAACCGTATATTAAAATTGAACATGCCCACTAACCCCATATTAAATATACAGGGTATACACGTGTTTGCCTTTAACCAATGATATTCCTAGAAGTGTATAGGAGGTAACATCAAAAGTAATACATGTACATAGGTCCGTCAAACCGTCCTCTTGCAATCAAACATTTGCCCATATGAAGTGGTCCTGGCTAACTTTCATAAATACAACAGTCCGATCCGATGCAAAAATGCAGGCAATACCACAGCTTTCAAAAAACTATATTTTCATGAAATAGTCTGTCAAGGGGCCTGAATTCCACGAAAACTCGATCAGTACACTACTGTTATATATAAAAAAAAAATGTGGAGTCATCACAACAAAAAGAGCTGACAACGTTTTGATTTTATAATGAGGGAATGACGGACATAATTAATACTACATGCACCGGCGAAGCATAACAATACTGTAAACCAACTAATTTATGCGAGCGATTTATTTTCGCGACTTTCGCGAGTCGGAAAATAACGCGAATATAAATCGTCGCGAATGTGTATAAATCGGATTATTCCTTATTTAACTACATGAAGAAAATTTGAAAATCGAGAAATTAAATCGCCACGAGGTAGGAGAGAAATGGCTAATCGCGAAATAAAGTATTCGCAAAAAAAGTTGGTTTATAGTATCATTCCCAATGGTTAATTAAGACGGAGGATGATTCGATTAAGGATGTTCGCTCCTCTTGTTTTTGAATTTTTGCCAGATATTCGGAATCCTCTGGTTTTATCCATGTAGTGCCATTAAAACATTTTGCCCACTAACCCTTACTTTTCTTTTCATAATTTGGTTAAATGTAGTTTAAAATGCCATCTTTGAAAATCTTATTAAATCCTTGTTATTTGTTCATACTTTTAGACAAAAAAAGGTGCTAATGTTAAATGTATGAAAAATCTAGAGAGAATCATTTCCCGTCAAATTTTCAATGGCTTATATCTCGAAAATAAGCACATGGACCCTTCATTTCTATCTGCTTTTTTAGTTCCTTTATTTATATACTATCAATTTATAACAGTCTTTATAAAAGCTTGTTATTTTGAAACAGAGTAGCGAACATCCTTAAATTACAAATTGATTGAAGTTGTAAAAATTGATTAATATAACATGTTAAGGTTTTTTCTTGTCATTTGCACTGAACACAGTATCGCTATTTAACGACAAAACTCCTGGGAATGAATTCATCAAAAATACCAGGATTAAAATTATGCAAACCAGACGTGCGTCTCGTCTACAAAAGACTCACCAGAGACGCTCAAACAAAAACAATTGTAAGGTTAAATGAATTACAAAGTTAAAGAGCATTGAGGACCCCGAAATATTTTGCCAAAAACAGCTAGGGTTATCTACTCCTTGGGTAGAAAATCCTTGGTATTTCGAAACATTCAAAATTTTGCTAACAGTTAATTTATGATATATCTATATATATACTTTCAACTATTGTTAAACCGTTTGCTAAACTACTTCAGCTTCAACCCAAGAGCAAAATACATCTCTTAACTTAAATAATGGAAATTAAAACAAAATGTGAGATATCAACCTTGACTGGTGTATTAACACTTCCCGTTACGAATCAACGTTTTCTACACACTGATTTGACAAAGGCCTATTGTAACAACCCATCAAAGATACCAGGAGTATACTTTGGTACGTCAGACGCGCGTTTCCTACTCAAATTAAAAATGTTGGATTGCCAAACTAAATATAAGATTGAAGAGCATTAAAAACGGACAATTCAGATTCATTTATGCTAAAAACGGCTAGGGCAATCTGTGATGTTGGTGGGAGAGGGAGCATCTATTTCATATGTATCATACTGTAAGTTTATCAATCCCTTAGAAGAAGTATATCACCATGCTAGCTTAGTGAACATATAGTATTTTGGGCATCATTATACGACAAAAGTTTTGTCAAAATCGTAAGACTAAGTTCATTTATTAATATCGATAAATGTACGTTGAAAATGAAAACTTGATATAAAGCATTTAACAATCCAATAGAAAGTTGGAAATTATTTAATAGACTATTGATTAGGTACATAATAACTCGTTGCATATTATTTCAATGATCATGATTAAACACCGGAACCAGATGAAGAGACGCCCGCAATGATATATTTTCTTTTGGAAACATCAAGGAATTTTTTGAAGATGCAAGTTTGAAATTTTATGAATTATATTCGTCTAATTGTTCTAGTCGGGGAGGCGAAAAGAAATTGGACGTGAACATTACTTGATCTTACATAACGATCTTATTCACATCACTTTACTTTTATAATTGCAGGATTGCAGTAAAACTCCAAGATATTACGTCACAGTGTTAACCCTGTAAAAAGTTGTTTGAGAAAGTCAGAAAGATTTCATCCTACTTGTACATTACCATATAACAATGATACATTTTACATATCGCTATCAGATGGCGCTCATAATATTCTTATCAAAGACAATTTTCGGACAGGTTTGTCAATCTGGATCTTTGCGTGTAAGTCCTGATAAATCTGGAGAAAGACTGAATGGATCTGTTTATATAACATTTCAAAACTATGGACCAAACAGTTGCTTCGATGAATGTATCCGAAGACCAAGATGTCATTCGTTTAATTACAACATGGATTCTTTCCACTGTGAGATAAATGAAAAAACATCACCGGAAGTGTTTGTATCAGAATCCGGATATGAATATGTTTACATCTCGCCTTATAGACAGGTAAGAGATTTTGTGTCAGGAGTTAAATTTAACATGGTCTCTGAGGTGGAATTCGTCTGACAACAAAAACAAAACTTTTCAAAGATAATTCCTAGAATTACAATAAATGAAGGCGACAGTATTTTATCGATGTTCAACCCTCGTAAATCGATTTGGAAGAGACAAATCAAGGTAACAAAACAGAAACTGAGGAAATCGGAGGATCTCCAAATGCAGCGCGATCGTGTTAGCGTCTCCTTCTATTCATGCATCACCCGCCATGCGAAATCACACGCACTCAAAATGTCAAAATCGGGAAAAGGACACTATCGGTAAAATTGAGGTTTGAACGACTTTAGAGAGCTACCATTTGATTTTTATTGGGGGGAGGGGGGGGGGGGTGTGGGGGGGGGGGGGGGGGGGGGGGAAAGCTAGGATGAAATAGTTTGTCCTGCATTTTTTTTTTGGTTGTAATCTCTGTCCTGCCTTCTTATTTTTCACTCTATTCGGTCCTGCATTTTTTTTATTAGTTTATCCTGACTTTTTTTACAAAAATTGTCATCGTTCTTTTTTTTTTTGCCAAGTTGCTCATCCTGCCTTTTTCTTTTTAGCTCCCTTACAGGTACTTTAAGATCTAAAAAAAAAACAATGACATTTTGCACATCTGAAAAGTTCCCGAACTTGATTGTTTTTCAGAACTTGGAACAAATATTTTTGGTAACCTTTATATTTCATCGTTATGGTGATATTCTTAGTGATTCAAATTTGTTAGTTAGCATTTTTATTTTTGTTTTTATTTTTTAGACATCACGTGATCCCTGTTCATCAGATTGTGCGGAAGGAGAAATATGTATCACTTTGTATAAAGGATTGTGTACATGCTTGGTCGATGGTAGGTTCGCCATTTATCATAGAGGATTTATGTGTAGTATACGTCAATTAGATGTGTGGTTATGTGTCAGTGAGATGGGTGGTATACGTCAGTGAGATGTGTTTTATTTTTCAATGAGATGTGTGGTATGTGTCAGTCAGATGGGTGGTATATGTCAATCAGATGTGTGGTATGTGTCAGTGAGATGTGTGGTATACGTGAATGAGATGTATGGTATACGTCAATCAGATGTGTGGTATGTGTCAGTGAGATGTGTGGTATGTGTCAATGAGATGTGTGGTATACGTCAATGAGATGTGTCGTATACGTCGATGAGATGTGTGGTATGCGTCAAAGAGATATGTGGAATACGTCAATGCGAAACTAGCCAAACCATATAAACTAGTAAAAGATTTAATGATCATCAACACCTATTTCTCCAAATAAAACCCCCATCCCCATAAATTAAAAAAAAAATCCCTAAAACAAAAGCAAACAAATAGATTAAAAGAAGGCCCTAAGGGAGCTACCATTTGATATTTATGGGGGGCTAGGATGAAAAATTTGGTCCTGCATTTCTTTTTAGTTGTAATATCTATCCTGCCTTTTTCATTTTCACTCTATTCGGTCCTGCCTTTTTTTTATTAGTTTATCCTGACTTTTTTTACGTAAATTGTCATCCTGCCTTTTTTTTTTGCCAAGTTGCTCATCCTGCTTTTTTTTTTGCTCAAAACTCCTGTCCTGCCTTTTTTTCAAATTTCATTCTAGCCCCCCCCCCCCCCCCCCCCAACCCCCCCCCCCCCCCCCAACCCCCCCCAACCCCCCCATAATAATCAAATGGTAGCTCCCTAAAATACCATTAGAATGTGTACTTAAGTCAACAACTCGCTAAATAATTGACATTTTACAGGCACCTGTGGCGGGATTAAACTAGTTGATTTTAGATCTCAATATTCCCCAAATTTTATCTTTATTTGTTAATGTTGAAAAATACCACTGACGTTAAATTACAAAAGCTGATACACGTTCTTGGTTTGTCAAATTTCTTTTTCAGTTTAGAATTCTCATTTTTAATATTATTATTATTTTTATTTGTATTATAGTATTCATGAATTGAAGAATAACAAAATTACCATTGATAGCAACTCCCCCCCCTTCCCCTTTCCAAGAAGGACAACAAAAATTTATTGACTCAAAGTGGCAGATAAAAAGAGAGGCGAAAGATATCAAAGAAACATTCAAACTCATAAGTCAAAACTAAACGGATACAATTGAGAATGGAAACGGGGAATGTGTCAAAGAGAAAACTACCAAACCAAAGAGCAGAAAACAGCCCAAGTCCACCAATGGGTCTTCAACACAGCGAGAAAATCCCGCACCCGGAGGCTGGCTTCAGCTAGCCCCTAAACAAAAATGTGTACTAGTTCATCGAAAATGGACGTCACACTATACTCCGAAACATGTAAATGAACCAAAATCTAAAAAAAGAACATACAAGACTAACAAAGGCCACAGGTTCCTGACTTGGGACAGGTGCAAAATGCGGTAGGGTTAAACATGTTTTGTGAGATCTCAAGCCTCTCCCTATACCTCTAGCCAATGTAGAATAAACAATCACACAGTAAAACTCTGTTTAAAAGGAGTCCGAGTCCGATGTCAGGATAGGTAACAGAAGAAACTAAGCAAAAGGACAATGATCAACACAAATTAACAAAGGACTACTAACAGTTACTGACATGCCAGCTCCAGACCTCAATTAAACTGATTGAAAGATTATGTCTACATCAAGCACAATCCCTCCCGTAAGGGGTTTAGTATCATACCATCATAAAATATATGAGAAGAACATAACCCGTATCCTGCCAACAACTAGTTTTAGAATAAATGTGTTTATTTACGATGCAAAGACCCTATGAGTGATTCAATACTAATTCCAAAAAATGCCATCTTTAATGACCTGACAACAGTATCGTAACTATATCCCTTCTGAATAAGTCTGTTTAAAGGTTTGGTCAGCTTTTGAGGTGAATGACGACACTTTTGTGCTTTGTCACCAACTAAAATGGATAATTAACAAGAGGAAATGAAAAATCATCTCTTTCATCGTAAATTTTGGTATTAAGCTTCCCGTTTAAAGATATAGATATCAAGATCGAGGCTAAAATGACATGGCTGAAAAAAGAAAAAGACAAACAGACAAACAACAGTACACAAAACACAACATAGAAAACTAAAGACTGAGCCAAACGAACAATACCAAACACTGGGGGTGATCTCAGGTGCTCCGGAAGGATAAGAAAATCCTGCTCCACATGTGGCATCCGTAAACCAAGTAAACAAAGAATACATATTGGGTTTTTGAGAAAAACCCACAGAAAACAGAAACTTTGTCTAGGCCGCTGTCTTTGGCTTGCATTTAAAATTATTTCAAAATAAGTTGAACATCCTGTACATTTAATTGGGCATCAGAATCAGTATCATACGTTAGCAGTCTATGTTGAAGGCCTCACTGTGACTTTGAGATAAAGGACAGCAATAAAAACGCTGTTCATTTGCTTATTATGTGTTTTTTTGCTGCGCATGTACTGATTTCGTGTCATGGATGAATCCCCCATATCCTTTTGTTTTTCTATTATGTTACCTTATTTCCATACGCAAAAAACTCCATTGATGTTAATCTTGTTTACACTTTTCTTTACTATCAATTTCAATATTATTAGGAGATTATGACTTATTACGAAATGTTCCATCAATTTATTTCATCATGTGGTCTCCAGTTTTGCTATAGTCTTATAAATAAGACGAAAATATATCTGTTTAGAATATTGTCCTTTTATTTAAGATGACGACTCGTTTAGATCTGAGGCGACAACTCAAATGACTACTGAGAGCGAAACTACCGCTGCAGCAACGACTGGGGTAGACAAAACTACCACTGCAGCAACGACTGAGGTAAAGACAACTCAATCAGGGGCTACAACTGAGTCCACTACAAACCCGACATCAGATTCAAATGCAACCGCGGTCTCACGATCGAAGTCAAATACAACAGATACTCCAACAACTGAAGCTACTTTAAGTTCAATAAAATCAAAGACAACTGAGGGTTTGGAAACAGTATCAGCTTCTACTGCAGTCCAAGCTACTACTGAACACCAAACTACAACTGAACACCAAACTACAACTGAACAGCAAGCTACCACTGAGCAGCAATCCAGTGCAAATGTTATATCAACAGAACAGACAACTAACAACAAAATGACAGAAAAATCATCAACCGATAATGTGTCGACAATGACTTTAGAATCAACGACAACATAGAAATCATGCATTCATTTTGGAGACCAAGCTTCAATAGCTCTGCGAAGCTGTAAACAATCAAATTGTAGCAGAAAATAACGTTATACGCGTTTTTGATATTCTTGAAGATATTAACTCTGAGGAATTAAATACGATATCCAAGATAAGAAAATTATGTAAAACATCAAACAATTTCTTGATTCATATTTGTCACGTCAATGATTTTTAAATTTAAAAGTTGACAAATAAATAGTGTGAAAAGACGGTACTTTTTTGAATATTTACCTTAATCGTCATAAATTTGTATCTTAATGTCTAGGTAATTTGTCTTACTTTATTGATTACTATAAAAACCTATTTAATGTAACAATGAAGATATTGCAGTGTTTTATGTAAATATTAATACATATTTCATTAATACACTATTGACTCGGTTCTTATAGGTTGCACTTCTGTAAATATAAACAAAGTAATTTCCCATAGGTACTTCTTTTACGGCTAAATCTGTGCCATTTTTACTATGAAGTTTCGTAAAAAATTATATCTTAGAATTAAAAGTTCATATGCACTAATTTCTATTTCAAAGGTTAAAACATAGGGCTGTGTGGCATATTTTCAACATGTATATGCCTCGAACTTTTAAGAGTTTTTAACTGATACTAAAATTCTGTACTACACCTTCCTTTACTTTGGGTCGTCCTCAGATTTCAATTTGACCGCTATCCATGTGTATTTATACTGGAAAAATTCCCAAGTTGTGGCTCTATGAGATGAAACATAGAGATCATATCTGCAAACCAGTAGGTATACAAAACAAAATATCTATGAATATTAATATATATCTCCCTAAAAGAGACGCGGTTTCTAAAACAACTGTATTTACAAAGTGCAACCTATAGAATTGCTAGGTGAATTAAGTATAGGGATGATTGAATGTTGTTATTCTTAGTTTAATCACCACAAGGTTTTCAAGTAACTGCTTCTCGAAGTTTTTTTTTGTTAGATTGATTTTGTTGTATTGTAAATTGTGTAAATAGTGCCAAACAGTTGAAACCACAAGAAGGCGCTTCGCCATATATTTATGGCATTATTATCTTCAAAAAAATGCAATTTGAATTTGAAACAGATTTTATATAATATTAGTGGAAGTTTATATTTTTGCACTATATTTTTGTGTATTTATATTTTTTTTTACATTGTGATTTACTTTTTTCTGTTGTAAATACATAATGAAAACATGTCGTACTCAATTTATATGAACGAGGGTTGTGTCTGGATAAAAACTAGGCAAACATTATTTTTATTTATATGAAATTGATATCTGAAATAAAAGACAACCGAAATAACTAAGTAACTTCCACCGGTCAAATGATAACATGTTACAGTAACTATCTGACTGTATAACTTCCACCGGTCAAATGATAACATGTTACAGTAACTATCTGACTGTATAACTTCCACCACATGATAACATGTTACAGTAACTATCTGGCTGTATGACTTCCACCACATGATAACATGTTACAGTAACTATCAATGTCAGTTGTGTGTGTCTTTACTTCTACATTGTGTAGATGGGGGTTTACAGAATAGAGAATAACGGGCAAAAAATATAAAGAATTATATTTTATAGAGAAAAATAAACCAAAAAAATAAAGAATAGTGAGTAATGAGGTGCTAAAATATAAAGAATAGCGAATAATGGGCAAAAAGTATAACAGAGAAAAATGGCATAAAAAATTAAAGAATACAGAAATAAAAGATCCTTATCTGGACCCTCCTTCTAGCTAATTGATTTATGATGATCTTAATCGTCTTTTTGCTTAAAAGTAAGTAAGATTTGTCCCTTTCTAAGACTGCATAAAAAATATTTGTATTTACATTGACCATTCTATCTTATAAAACAAATTTAAATTAGGCCGTTAGTTTTCTCGTTTGAATTGTTTTACATTGTCATTTCGGGGCCTTTTATAGTTGACTGTGCGGTATGGGCTTTGTTCATTGTTGAAGGCCGTACGGTGACCTATAGTTGTTAATTTCTGTGTCATTTGGTCTCTTGTGGAGATTTGTCTCATTGGCAATCATACCACATCTTCTTTTTTATATTGACGAACCAATTCTGAACTTTTTGTGTATGCATGTAGATGGGTTTGGGGGGAAGACCGTGATGGCGAGGCAACACAATCTTTGAACGACTGGGTTTACTTTTATATAGCCCGTCTATAGCTATGTTAAACTTACAAAACTATTTGAGGATGTTCGCTGCCGAAATTAAAGATGACATTTGCATAAATTTCAATAGTATGATACTTATGACAAAGTAGAAATAGACTCGTGTCTTTGTTGCAGATACACGTATTTGATACAAATTACATTTAAGAATGAAAGTCTATATCTGAATTATCAAGAAGTTCCAAAATAAGTGGTTGTCTGAAACCGAGGGCATTGAAACAGACACAGCGTATTTGGGAAATCATATCAGCTAATTTTGAAAGTATTTTGGCTAATTTTTAAAATATTTTCCGTCGAATTCCCTGAATCCTGGTCTGTTGTAAAGCGTTTAGTTTGCGGGAATTATGGATGCTTGCGAAACACTGGATGAAAGGAATTTCGACGTGACCTATCTTATCAACTGTTGTCTAACTAATGAAATGTGTGTTGTAAGTTAATAGAACTCAGGGGATATCAATTATCATTTAAAATATTAATCAGTGATAACAAATGCAATGAATGTCAGTGCAGAGATATTGAAAATCCCGTCACATGCGGAATGAAAGTTGGCTGAAATTGGGTTACGGAGGGAACATTTTTGGTTAGACAAAACTGCTAACAAGCTAAACAAAAAGAAGAAGTCTGAGCGTTATCTATCAAAATAATTTCCAACGGAATTATTTTTACGGTAATGACCTGACCGCTTAACTATAAATCCCCAACGAGTCATCGAAACGATAACAAACACCCGAAAATCGATCAAATAAAATGCAGCTATCGAACTTATTAACAACCAAAAGTATATGGTATGCAAATATTTTATAATAAAAGCTAACAAGTCAGGAATATAGCAGTTGTTATCAAATAGGCCGTTTCTATGCATGTTGGCGTTTGTTTTTGTAGCTGTTCAGTGTTTCTGTTGTTACGTTGTTTTCCTCTTATAGTTGACGTGTTTCCCTCTGTTTTGGTTTGTGACCCGGATTATTTATGAGTATAAGTTTGGGGTTGTCAGAGTCGACAATAAAGGCCAAAGAGTAAAGAATAGAGAAAAATTATTTTATAAATAAAGATTAGGATAATAATGGGGTAATAAACTGTATAAAAATAGAGAATCAGTTGAAACAAAATAAATTAAGAAATCAGAAATTAACCCCTCTTTTCCATTATTGTTTTGTGTGTAAGCGACTATTGATTTTAAATTGCATCGCTTTTTAAAGTAGTAACCGCTTCTGTGGTCTCGTGGAAGCGTGTTCGCCTCGATTGCGAGTGATCGTGGGTTCAACCCCGCCCGGGTCAACCAAAGACTTTAAAATTTGTATTTGCTGCTTCTCCGCTAAGCACGCGGCATTAAGGAGTAAGAGCGAAGACTGGTCGGCTCGGAATCAGAATAATGTGTCCGGGTAAGGTGACATGTCTTCCTGCGGACTGTTACCTTGTGAACTAGCAGGCTAAAAATCCGGCTCAGGGTGTCGGTCTAGTACAAAGCAGCGTAAATATTCATATTAATATGTTATCGTCCTGAATATGCATATTAATTTGCCGCTGGACGTTAAGCAGCCATCCATCATCATCATCTGTTTAAAGTACAATTGACAGTTTATTCAAAGTTTACCTGAACTATAATAGTACTCTTATAAGAAATTTTTCTTGTATTTTTTTCTTTTTACATGCGAAATTGCATAAAACATGAATAAATGAACATAACATATGTAAGATTGATCAAGTTATGTTATAGATAATGCATATTTTAAGGTTTTTCTTGTCGTATAATACAACGAGGGGTGTCAAGATTGAATAAATGAAAGACTGACCGTAGTGATGCCTTTCTTTGGGTAGTCCTGACACCCCGAGGTGTGTTATACGACAAAAAACCTTAAAATATGCATTATCTGACTATTATATACCGTAAAAAAAATATTATTTTCTGTAAAGATATACATGATTTGCATCCTATTTTACCGACCACACTAAAGTGGGATATTCCTTTCTGGTGCGTTCAGGTTTTAATACGCCCTACGGCTCATTTATAATGTGAAATAAAACTCACTAATTAATCTAGATATAAACTTAGAAATTATTTATAGGTTAGATAATACTTGGTCAGGTTTTATGAATATATAAAGCCCGAGGCGTAGCCGAGGGTTTTAAATGTTCATAAACATTATCAGTATTGTCTGACCAATTTTGACCATATTCACACCTTCGATTGACATAACAAAATTAGCCTCTCATTGTAATAATCAAACTTTGATATTAGCTCACTTTAAGTGTTAACATGGTTGGTAAAAGGGATGTAAATCATTTAATGGTCATTTCAACAGATGGAATGAAAGAGCAATGAGATAATTTTGTGATAACAAAAAAAAAAAAAAAAGGATGAATTATTCAAAAACGGAGATTTCCTCTGCTTCAGGTACAATTTAATCTTACATATCTAAAATTCCTTCATTCTATAAAAGCACACAATGTTATATAAATTAGCTTTTCTAAAATCGTATAATTTTTAATGAGGACAAAACATCATAAGTTAATTTTAATTTACAATCGTTTCAACATCACATGCTTGTATTTTTATTGATAAATGTATTTTTTTTTCAAAAACTTTCTTTAATTTTTTTATCAACTGTTACAGTCATTGTTTCTTAAAACATTGAGTTTGAGGTTTTGAATACAAATTTGATTAAATATTACATGTATTTTACCAAGACCTTTGTCCCTTTTCAATTTTTTTTCGGGGCGTGGGGTCTAAATATATACCATTAAATAACATTTACAGTGTTGAAATCTCAACTTGAAATACTTTTTTAGTTCTATTCTCCTGATTTAATTTAAAATAGCGGGTAATTAAACAAACAAAAGAACTCATGATTTTTTATTTTTTCTCTTATCCCTTGGACATTGCCTTGGGGGGTTGTATACTTCGAATTTTTAAGAGTTTTCCTTCATAATTAATCTACAATGAAACGTCATCCATGTGTAGCATTTTATAGTGCATGGAAAGCCATGTACTATGAAAAATAGAAGGGAAAATACTGATTTTCCATTGGACGAGAATGGATGAGTATGTTCTAATTTCAAGACACACTTTTTTTTTTACTGTAACTGCATGATGCAAGATACAAAGGAATTGTTACCGCCCGATAACGGTGTTTGAAAATACAAGTCACTTTGTAAGTAATTGATTGTACCAACTTAGTGTATGAACGGGGGATGTTTCTGTTTTTTTTTTCATGAAATTTTTATCGTGGAAAAGCAAATTATTTTTTCAGCAACATTAAACGAATTGAACTATTCAGAATGATTTTCTTTTGAAGGGAAATATATATTTTTTTAAAACTGAGAATCAGGATTAAATTCTATACCCAAACCACCCCATTATAAAGTGCGTGGCTGTTATTCTATAGAAAATAAGAATTTTTGGTCATTTAATCATTTGATAGAGTAAAAGGTATATATGGAACCGATGTAAAAAGTTAAGAACTGACACGAAAAGAGCACGAACTCGTTATACAAGTACATGTAACACGAGAAACGAATATCCATACATGTGGGTCAAATTATGATTTCCAAAACAGTGTGAATCAATAAGATTTTCAGAATCCTACACACGAATGTATTAAATCTGGCTTGTTTTAAAAGTGTTTTGAAAAGTTTTGTATTATTAAATTCATTTCACAAAATATCCCTTTGTTGTAGCGATGAATTAAGAAAACGAAAGTTAAAATGTGCGTCAACGACGATGTTTGGTTTTTCAGTCTAATAAACGGAGGAAAGGATTGTTTCTACCGTAAACCTATCAAAGATGGAACATTAAAAAGTAAACCTCGAACTGGCAACAACACACGATAACTATCAAACGAATCAAGTCTTTAAGTAAATTATAGTTTGCATTTTAATCATGGAAAATAATGACCTTACATTGGTAGCATATTTCATTGAAACTTGGTATCGTCCGGGTTGATTCTTCAAAAGCATAACCTATCATTCTGAAAGAAAATAACTCCATATACTATAGGTATATAAAAGAATATAAGAAAATGTATTACAATTGATTTGGTTAGTAAAAGTCATATGATACTTCAAATTGATAAAAAAGTTTAATATGTTTTATATACTTGAATGGCTACCTTTTACTATAA